TCAGAGATGATTGTATGAGTTATTTATTTTTGTGCAAAAGATTGCCCCTGTGTCTGTGTCTGGAATTGGGGAGTGGCTTAGCGGAGTTGTTCTCTCATGAGATTGCCATCAACATTAGCAGGTGCTGCTGTCATCTCAGGGCTGGCCTGCAGCAGGAAGGACTGGCTTACTCACATGACTGACTGGTGCTAGCTTTTTGGCAAGATACTTCAGTTTCTCACCACATGGATCTTTCTTTAGGGCTTCTTGCTTCCTCCAGAGCAAGTGAACCAAGAGCACAAGGTGGAAACTACAAGGTCTTGCAGGACATTTTCATTGCGTGATACTTTATTGGTTACAGTCAACTTTATTCAGTATTTGATGTGCTTACCAGGAGGTGAGGCTCATTGAGAGCCATCTGGCAGGCTGGCTACCACAATGTTTTTCCATTAATGTTTTTTTTTTTAGTTGTTGATGAACCTTTATTTTATTCATTTATTTATATGTGATGCTGAGAATTGAACCCAGTGCCTCACATGTGTGAGGCAAGTGCTCTATCACTGAGTCCCATCCCCTATTAACTTTTTTTTAGCTTGCTCTTTGTGTTGTTAGCAACCACCGATGCTCAATGCCTAAAAGCACTAATTCAGTAAGGTGTTGCAAATGAATGAATGAATGAATATATATATATATTCCATCTGCTATTATTTATTTATTTATTGCGATTCTAAGGATTGAACCCAGGGCCTCACATATGCTAGGTGAGCACTTTACCACTGAGGCACAACCCTAGTCCAAAATGATTATATTCTAGCATTCCTTTTTTCATGTATTAGTAGAAATACCCCCAAAAGTAGAGAAAAGAGTACAAGAAACTAAGAAAAACTTGCTCTTCTTTATTTGGTTACTCAGTAGTTCATTTTGTATAGAATAGTCAGGCTAAGTGCTTGATTCTCTCCCTTTATTAACTAGTTTCAAAAATAGAATTGGGCTGGGGATGTGGCTCAAGTGGTAGGCACTCGCCTGGCATGCACAGGGCACTAGTGGGTTCGATCCTCAACACCACATAAAAATAAAAATAAACATAAACATATTGTGTCCACCTAAAAAACTAAAAGATAAATATTAAAAAAAATAGAATTGTTTTCCTAGCAGTATCTGATAATAATTAGAAAACAATTATGCTATGAACTTGTGGACTTAAATGTATTTGATTGCATTTCAATTTATTGCAGATATTATATTATCTAACTTATATTATCTATATAAACATTAGTGTTTATGTAGTCATACAGGTATACTTTATGGCATATATACTATATGGTATATGTAGTGTATATATATATATATATATATGTGTGTGTGTGTATGTGTATTTATAGTCATACAGGTTGATTATTTAATGATGTCATAAGATGTTCATGCCCTTATCACCATAAAATGTGAATGTTACTTTATATGACAAAAATAATTTTATAAAATAAATAATTTTATGGATATGATGACATTAAGGATTTTGAGTTGAGTTATACTGGATCATCCTGCTGGGTCCATTGGAATCCAAGGTCCTTATAAGAGGGAGGCAGGGGATCAGAGGAGAAGCCAATGGCCTGATGGAAGCACAAATAGGATGAATGAATTTTGAAGATGGAGGGGGATACAAGGACTGCAGCACTGTAGGCTGAGAAAGGCAAAGAAAAAGATCCTCCCCCTGGAGTGTCCAGAAAGAACCAGCTCGGCTGACACTGAAACAGGGCCGTAACATGGCAACTTCACCATTCCAGGACCCAGGGGCTGAACTCTAGGACCTGATCTAAAATGACCTTGAGAGTCTGGCAGAATCAAGTCTCCAGTGAGCGGAAACTGAAGAACAAGCACAGGAGCTAGAGGACCCATGCCAGGGCCATCAGCAGTTGCAGGATCAACCAAAATAAAGGAGAGATGAGAAATTTCCAGTTACAAAGTATCCACAAGTTCCTGGACCTAGATATAGGCGGACTATTTCACCAGGACTCCACCAGGACTCAGTGTTAAAACTAACTAGGCCCCAACCTTTAGAATTCCTTCTCTGTGGGCCAGTAAGGGAAACAGATATGAGCATGACTCTTGTCACCTTGTAGGACCTACGATAAACTGTTTTCTTTTTGCAAAACTGATGCCATAGTATTGACTTACATGTGCCTCTGATAGCGAGCCTTGGCTCAGTATCAACACTTGGACTTTAGTCCAGTGAAACTGATTTTGGACTTCTGATTTCCAGACTGTAAGAGAATACATTTGTATCATTTTAAGCCACTAAATTCATTATTGCTGCAGTAGGAAACTAATAACACTCATCTTTGGTTAGGAGAGTATCTTTAAATTGGTTACTAATAAGATAAAATGTTCCTGGCTCATTTTGTACATTTTCTGCCCCAGACCTGGAATGACAAATTTTCCAAGGAACTGTGGATCCTTTTAGGAGGAAATATTTTAAGATCTCTAGGGGGTGCTGGGCTTGAGGATGCACACTTGTAATCCCAGCGTCATAGGAGGCTGGGGCAGGATTGCAAGTTCAAGGCCAGTCTCAGCAATTTAGCAAGATTGTGGTAAAATAAAAAATAAAAAGAGTGGGGGGTATAGCTCAGAGGTAGAGCACTCCTGGGTTTGAGCCCTAGTACCAAAAAAAAAAAAAAAAAAAAAAGGAAATCTCTCTAGGGGTTATTCATGGACTCTCCCCTCTCTCCATCTTTTAAGTTTATTTTAAAATTGTGATAAAAATAAAACATAAAATTTGTCAACTTTTTACAACACTGGAGGCAAAACTCAGGGCCTCACACATAAGTACTCTACCACTAAACTACATCCCAGCCCATAAACTTTACCTTCTTTTTTTTTTAATATTTATTTATTAGTTGTACACAACACCTTTATTTTGTTTGTTTATTTTTATGTGGTGCTGAGGATCAAACCCAGGGCCTCGAACCTGCTAGATGAGTGCTCTACCGCTGAGCCACAACCCCAGCCCTTTTTTTTTTTTATGCTTTTTTTTTAGTTGTAAATGGATCATTTGTTTATTTATTTATTTATTTATTTATTTGTTTATATGAAGATTTAACCCAGGGCCTCACACATGCCAGGCAAGTGCTCTACCACTGAGCCACAACCCAGCCCCTAAACTTTACCTTCTTAATAAATTTTAAATGTGCAGTTCAACAGTGTTAATTATATTCACATTGTTATGCAAAAAAATTTCTAGAACTTTTTCATTTTGCAAAGCTGAAACCCTATGCCCATTGGACAACTTCCCATGTCCCATCTCCCCTTCCTCCCAGAAGGTTTTCCTTTTTCATTTTATTTATTCATTTATTTATTTTTGCGGTACTAGGGATTGAACCCAGGTATGCTCAATGCCTGAGCTACATCCCTGGCTCTTTTATTTATTTATTTATTTTTTAATTTTGGGGCAGGGTAAGGACAAGTTGACCAGGCAGGCCTTGAACTTGCAATCCTCCTGTCTCGGTCTCCTGAATAGCTGGGATTACAGGTGTGTAGCATCACACCCAGCTGGATTTTTGCATTTTTATAAATGGAAAAATATCACTGTTCTATAGCAAAAGTTTTTATCAACATATCATTATTTTCCTCTGATGTGTGCAGATCTCTAAGCCACAACTCTGTGTAGGGTTAGGCTACTAACCCTGAACTACTCCCTATAAAGTATTTCTTCAGCAAAGCATTTAAAAGGAATAGCCGGGTCTGGGACTGTAGCTCAATAGTAGAGCACCTGCCTTGCACGTGGGAGGCATTGGATTCAATCCTCAGCACCACCATTTATTTATAAGTAAATAAATAAATAGTGACCATCTACAACTAAAAAAAAAAAAAATTAAAAAGGAGTAGCTGCTTTCCCCTTCCCCCTCCTTTTTTTTTTTTTTTTTTGGATACCAGAGATTGTATCCAGGGACATTTAATCACTGAGCCACATCCCCAGCCCTTTTTATTTACTTATTTATTTTATTTTGAGACAGGATCTCCCTAATTTGCTGAGGCTGGCTTTGAACCTGCGATCCTCCTGCCTCAGCCTCCTGAGTCACTGGGATTACAGGAGTACCCAGCAGAATAGCTGCTTTTCTAAAACAGAGTGAGTTTTGAAATAAAACATATGACACACAAAAACTACTGACGTTTTATTACTGGAATTCAAAATATTCTCTTGAAGGCTGGGTGGAAGTCAGGGGTAAAGCAACTTATCTAGCAGCCTCAGAGTCCTGGCTTGGATTCCCAATACCATACCGAATCGAACCGAACCAATTCCCGGTAGCTCTAATTTGTTGTAGGTGAGTGCGCATGCTCAAGACTGGTGAGGCCACACATAGAGCTCAGAACTACAGCTGGTGTCCCCTGTAGGGTGTCATCTAGCGGGTTCTGTACATGTGATTGAACCTGCTACTGAGCAGAAATAGTTTGCATGAAAATTTTCAGTTCGGATCTATATGTCCATGAGCCATCAAAAATTGTTGAACGAAGAGGTTGTGGGGGCAGGGCGCAGTGGCGCCCGCCTGTAATCTCAGGGGTTGGTGGGGGCAGGGCTGAGGTAGGAAGATTTCCAGTTCAAAGCCTGCCTCAACAAAAGCGAGGCGCCAAGCAACTCAGTGAGACCCTGTCTCTAAATAAAATACAAAATAGGGTTGGGGATGTGGCTCAGAGATGAAGTGCCTCTGAGTTCAATGCCCAGGGTGAGGGTGGGGAGGTGGGGGGAGGGTGGAGGTTGTGCCATAGAACAACAATGCAGATGGAAAAAGTGCATCTGTTGAAGATTAAAAAGAGCTCAACAGGTGGTTTCTTTGCTATTGCCTGGCAAGTGTCTTAAGTATGTTGATTTTAAAGCTCTGGTTGCTTTAAATTTGCATCAAGTGTTCAAAAAGAGTGCATTAAAGTCATTTCCCTCTCTCCCCTTGCAGGAAGTGCTTAAATCAATTAATATCCCCGCCCTCTCTCTCTCTCTCTCTCTCTCTCTCTCTCTCTCTCTCTCTCTCTCTCACACACACACACACACACACAGTCACACATGCACATAGAAAGAGGAAACAGTTGGATAGGAACTCAGAAATCATGTGACTGATGACTAAGTTAAATTTTTCCTATTTACTGGAAGGAAGAATCTGATGATTTGTTACCGATTTTTTTGTTGTTGCATTTTTAAAGTTTTGGATCTATCACATTATGTTATCATTTATGCTCTTTTCTACTATGTTTTCTTCCATACTTACTGAACCTGAGGAGCAACACTGGACCTGCAGCTCCTCTGATGCAACCATTGCTTACACCTACTGTGGTAAGTAAAACAGCAACAACTTGTATTTGTGGACTCAACTCTTTGAGGGAAGTTTTCACAAGAAATTTGCTGCTGTCTTGACACATGAGCTGCTGCTGCTGCTACCCAGGGGGAAAGCAACTGCTGCTCACTTCTCTGTATGCATCTTCTTGACCCCTCACAGAGCTTGAGAAATCTCTGAATTCTTGTGCTTGTCCCCCAAGTGATTCTGTTGGTCTCTGTGGTCAGCTGTCTCTACCTTGAGCCCAGGTTTCGGTTTCTTCCCAGTTTCAGGAGGACTGTTTCCTTTTTTTTTTTTTCGCCTCAACCCCAAGAATAACTGGTTCTTCTTCCTGAAAGGTATAACATTCCTAGCTGCTTACTGGAGGTTATTTCTGCTCGAGGCTGTGATTTTAGAGGGCTCTTGGAAATCATCTTCCTGGTCTGTTGGTTTCTAGGTGTGTGATCTTGAGCAAAATAGTTAGCCTCTCTGTGCCCTAGCTTTTATAGTTATAAAAATGAAAGTGATTTTAGAGCCTACTTTCTAAGGATTGCTTTGAGGTAAAGATTTGAAAACAGGGTCACATTAGAAACAATAATATTGACTTTTTAAAGTTAGTTATATCTGTTGCTATTAGCTGGTGTCTCATCCTTTCCCCTCCCACATTTTCTCATTGGCAAGTGGCTAGAATCTGAAGGGCCTGACAGCTGTTTTGGTTTGGTACTTTCCACTGAGCTGCTCACTGTGGGTTGACTGCCCTCTTCTACTCACTAGTGATGTCAGGATGGTTGAAAGTAATGTTTCCCAAAACATAAGTTCTTAGAAATTATTTGGGGAAAAAAGGATCTGTGGCTTAATCATCTTAGTGAGACTGACAAATGTATTTTGAGTTCAGAGAAGTTCTGTAATAAAGAAGCCTGTTTAAACACAATATTTTCTATTGTATTTTAATTTGGGGGAGTATGTCTTCACTGTTCTGAAGAAACACTAATGCTAATATATAGTCCCTTCTGGGGAATTAGGATAATAATCGACCCATGTAAGAGTAAGACAGAGTCATGTATGGTGGTGCACACCCATAATCCCAGCAACTCAGAAAGCCGAAGCAGGAGGATCACAAGTTGCAGGCCAGCCTCAGCAACTTTTCAAGACCCTGTGTCAAAAAAAAAAAAAAAAAAAAAAGACTGGGGATGTGGCTCAGTGGTATAGCACCCTGGTTTCAATCCCTAGTATGGGGGTGGGAGAAAAAGAAAAAAAAGCAAAGAAATAAAATGAAATAATAAAATAAATAGAAGAGTATACTCTCTCTCCCTCTCTTGACCTTTTGCCATGAGATGATATAGAAAGAAGGCCCTTACCAAAGGCCAGCACCTTGATGTTGGGCTTCCCAGGCTCCAAAACCGTGAGAAATGTATTTTTGTTCTTTATAAATTACCCCGTCTTTGATATTCTGTTATAGTAGTACAAAACAGACTAAGACACCTGTAGATGGCTGCTTTTGCTCTATGTCCTCATCTGGCCTTTGCTGTTTGTGAGCACATCCTGGTGTCTCTTTGTGTGTCCAAATTTCCTCTTATAAAGACACCAGTCCGATTGGATTGGGGCCACCCTCATGTCCTTATTTTAACTCATTCATCTCTTTAAAGTCTTTATCTCTATCTCTGTCTCTTTCCGTGACATTGGGAGTTAGGACTTCAACATATGAATGCAGGGGCTGTAACATACAATCCTTCCGGTGAAGCATGTGTGTCTTGGCAGCTGGTGGGTCCTCTACTCCATGCATGTCAGACTCTTTACCAGCCTTTTAATTGTACAGTCTATTATTTTAACCAGAACTTCCTCACCTTCCTTCTGTTTCATTAACATTTGAAGTCTGTTAAAGATCCTCTTTGTCTTAAACTGGGTGTGTTGGTGCGCACTTGTCATCCCAGCAAGTTGGGAGACTGAGGCAGGAGGATCACAAGTTTGAGGTTAGGCTCCAATTTATTGAGACCCTGTCTCAGAATAAAAAGGGCTGGGGGTGTAGGTCAATGGTAGAGAGCCCCTGAGTTCAGTGCCCAGTACTCCCCACCCCCATTTTTATTTGCTTTCTACAGATTGGCTGAGTCAGTTGAATTAAATTCAGTTTAAAGGATCTTCTTCTTCTGCCTCCTCCTCCCTCTTCTCCTCCTCCTTCTTCTTTTCCCGTGTACATAACCATCCTGTTTTCTTTCCTTTTTTATTATTATTTTTATTTGTTCTACTTAGTTGTTCATGACAGCAGAATGTATTTCAATTCATCATACACAAATAGAGAGCAACATTTCAATTCTCTGGTTGTACAAGGTGTAGAGATACACCATTTGTGCAATCATACGTGTACCTAGGGTAAGGATGTCCATCTCATTCCACCATCTTTCCTACCCGCATAACCCCTTCCCACCCTCCCCTTGCCCTGTCCAAAGTTCCACCATTCTCCCCATGCCCCTGCTACCACCATCATAGATCATCAACCATCATCTTTTCTCTTGGTGTTTTCAAAATTTTCTCTTTAACTTGTAACAATATGATTATTCTGTGTCTTGGTGTGAAATTTTTTTAGTTCATTTAGTTTGGGGTCTTTTAGACTCCCTGGATTTTCCTTTCCCAGATTTGAGAAGTTTTTAGACAATAATTCCTCAGGGGAATAGCATCTATGAGCCCAAGCAACTATTGCCTTCTCTCCCAGATAGCTAGACTGCGCTACTGTCTGATCTCTAGGACTAGTGAGACAGATACTAGTTTTAGGGGATCCCCAGAGAAGTTGTGGTGCTGGATGTCAGGGTCAAACTCTTTCCCTCCCCAGGCACAAGCTGAGAACTGGGATTTTCCATCAGCTCATAACGTGCTGAGCAGAGGGGAGGATCAATAGTATCTGCCATCCCAAGCCAGGGCCTTAATTTTCTCCTAAGCAGCTAGAATGTGGCAGACTGATCGATATGAGCTCCAATAATCCAGTCCTCTGGGGAACTTCCTGGAAGAATTGGGGTGCTGGACATGCAAATCAATTTCTTCTCTCCCCTGATTGGGACCAGGGGCTAGGAAGTCTTTTCTATATTGTATAGGGCTATACTGGGGTAAGGAACTCTGAGAGAGGCTATCCTAAATCTCCTGGATGTTTTTGGTGAGTCTGGTTTTCTGTTCTCCTGGGTGCAGGAGAATTTTAATTAGTTTGTGATTTTTTAAAATAATTTATTGAATACCAGTATGTAAATATGTTGGAAGTACAACATACTAAGAGTATTGGTCATTTACCTTTTTTCTTTAGTATTATTATTATTATTATAGTTGTCAATGTACCTTTATCTTATTTATTTGTATGTGGTGCTGAGAAGCGAACCCAGTGCCTCACACATGCTAGGCATGTGCTTCATCACTGAGCCACAACTCCAACCCTAGTGTATGATTTTTAACAGATGGAGTTTGTCTATGAATTGTTGTGTTTGTGGTGGTAAATCAAGGGGCTTTCTACTCTATCATGTTGCTGATGTCCTTGTATAATTTTACTACAAAAGGTATCTTTGGGGGGAATGATAGAATATATGTATTTACTAGAAGTGATATATAATAACTTATTGACATTATCCTTTTTTCTGTTTAGATGACATTAAATTTCCTATTTTAGTTAGACCTGAACCCTGTATATCATTGAAAGGCACTGAAGGATTTTTGCATATTTTCTACATTCCAAGTAAGTACAATTTTTTTTGTTTCTGTAGATCAGCTAATTATTTAAGATATATCAATGATAGCTGGGCTCAGTGGCTCATGCATGAAATCGCAGCAACTCAGGAGGCTGAGGCAGGAGGGACTACAAGTTTGGGGCCAGCCTCAGCAACTTAGTGAGACTCTAAGCAACTTATTGAGAACTTGTCTCAAAATAAAAAATAAAAAGGGCAGTCCTTTTCGTTTTTTATTTTGGGACAGGGTCCCAAAGAAACTTGATAAACACCCTCCCCTCCTCCTAATTTTAGTCCTCTAGCATCCAAGAAATGAATGATAGACAATTGTGTTTTAATTTTCCTGAATCTAATCATTCTATTTGTATATATTAGTCTTGTCTTTGCATTTATTTTTCATTATTTTTTTTTTAATTAAAGCAGCCCTGGGTTCCAAATATACTTGTACTAATTATATATTGTTATATAGCAAATTATCACAATCTTAGTAGCTTAAAACAGTACGCATCTATTATCTTATAATCTCATAGTAGGTCAGTAGTCTGGATATGGCTTACCTGTGCTAACTTCAGAGTCTCCAACAAGGCTACAGTCTTGGCATTGACCAGGGCTGTGGTCTCTTCTGTGGGCTACCCAGGGAAGAACCACTTCTAAGCTCATGTGTTTGTTGACAGTATAGTTTCTGAATATTGGCTGTTGGCTATCCCTCAGTTCCTTGCCACACGGGTTTTTTCAAATTAAATTCTTGCTTCCTCAAAGCCAGCCAGAGGGACAGTCAGATAACAAAGAGGAAGTGACAGTCTAACGTAGTGTATTTGTAGAATGATACTTGTCGTCTTTGCTGTATTTTGTTGGTTAGAAGCAAGTCACTGGGCCACTTCGCACTCATGGGTAGAGGATTACCTAAGGACATAGGGATAAAAATGGAAATAGAACTCAGAATGATAGACAGTTGTGGTTTTTTGTTTGAGTACCAGAGATTGAACCCAGGGAGCTCAAACACTGATCCATGTCCCAGCCCTTTTTTAAAAAAATTTGAAACATCCTTCTTGGTTAGTCTTGCTAAGTTGCTTAGAGCCTCACTATATTGCTGAGGCTGGCCTTGAACTTGTGTTCCTCCTGCCTCAGCCTCCTGAATTGCTGGGATTACAGACCTGCACCACCATACCTGGCAATAATTGTGTTTTAATTTCTGAGTATTTCAGTTCTCAGTGTTTAATTTCCCTGCAACTAATTGTTTCATTTGTATTTTGATATTCTTATCTTTGCATTCACTTTTTCACTAAAAAATACTTAGGGCTGGGTGGTTTAGGTCAGTGGTAGAGCATTTGCCTGTCATACATGAGTCCATGGGTTTGATCCCTAGCATCACACACACATACACAACAGGATCAGGAAAGATACTTTGTAAATACTTGGTATATTTCAAGTATTATGTAGACTGTAAATTTATTGATAGGGCATTCTTTTGATCTTCAAGAATCTCAGTGCAATAGGACATATGGCTATGCAGATAACATAACATGATAAGTGAAATGATAGCAGTAAGGCTCTCGTTCTAGAGCTTTATTGTGGGAAATGCCTGTGAACAATAAAGGGGAGAGGAGGCCACAGAAGTCATGAAGAGGATTCAGATTGGAGTTCAGTTCTGATACCTTTGAGAAGTGAAAGAGGCTAGGCTTGTGGTGTGTGTCTGTGGTCCCAGCTACTCAAGAAGGTGAGGCAGGAGGATCTCTTGAGCCCCCAAAATTTGAAACTAGCCTGGGCAATATAGTGGGACCCTGTCTCAAAAAACCAAAAACCAACACACACACACACACACACACACACACACACCAAAGTATAAACAACAAAAATGAAAAGTGAAAGAGAAGGAAAGAGAATTAGATAAGATGATCATCACAACAAAAATGTATCCTTGAGATCCTCTTAGCCAGGTCAGTGAGGAGCCCTGGAGCAAAGGCTGCTTACCACAAGAGACCCATGACGGACAGGACTTGCCTGGTTTGAGGGACTTTGTGGTACTTCATTGTTCCAGGAGCATCCTGTAAGAGCTTGGTCTATGGGTGAGTGCTACACTGAGCTCTAGGCTACCTGCCAACTACCCTCCTTCTGATATTTGTTGTTATTTGTATTCTTGATGATTTCTGGTCTAACTGGAGTGAGATGAAATCTCAGTATAATTTTGATTTGCATTTCCCTGAGAACTAGAGATGTTGAACATCTTATTATTGTTGACCATTTGTACTTCTTTAGAAAAGTGTCCATCAATTGCCCATTTATTGACTTATTTGGTTTTTTTTTTGGTGTCATGTTGAGTTCTTTTTTTAAAAAAATATGTTTTTAGTTGTAGATGGACACAATATCTTTATTTTATTTATTTATTTTTATGTGGTACTGAGGATCAAACCCAGTGCCTCATGCATGTGAGGCAAGCACTCTACCACTGAGCTACAACTACAGCCCTCTAGTTCTTTATATATTCTACAATGATTCATGACCTTATTAGAAAAACATTTTCAGTGAGGTAGTAGTTACAATAATTGTTTTCCTTAGATAAAAGATTGTACATCTTTTCCATTTGGACTGGTTGAATACTTTGTAAGAGTTCAGGCAAATGTATCATTTACTGGAATTTTCCACATTAACTGGTAATAGAGAGATCATGAAGAAGGTTTAAAGGCCATATATTTAATTTTTAATTAAAAAATTCAAATTTATTCTGCAAGAATGTTTCATCAAAAATACTAAAAAGTTGGCATGAGTTAATTGTCTTCACTTCCTTTCCTTTGAATTTTCTAGCAGAAGAGACTAGAACTGAAAATTTTATGTCTTTGATAGTTTCCAATATCAAGTTATGAAGGTTTCTCTACTTTTAGACAAGACATACATAGCCCTTACCATGGAACATACTACTTGACCACAAAGTTGCCCTCTTGGAACTTCTGTTTGCAGAACCTGAGGGCAATAATAACACCCACCTCATGGATAGTTGTGATGATGAAATGAAATAATGTAGGAAAAGCCCAGGGCACATGCTAAGTATGAAAAAAAATGCTGTTCTGTATAGGAGAATTTCTTATTTAAGGGGCTAATGGAATTTTTTCTTTTTAAGGGAGAGATTTAAAACAATTATATTTCAATCTCTATATATCTGTCAACTCCATGAATTTGCCAAAGCGCAAAGAAGTTATTTGCCGAGGAGCCAATGATGAATATTCTTTTTGCAGAGCTCTGAAGGGAGGTAAGCATTCAGCTCATCTTGCTTACGGAATGGAACATAATTCTTTATAAGAATTTTATTGGAGTTCAAATGTTCAAAATAATTTCTGATTATCTTCTGTATTTCTGTAGTGTCTGTTGTGATATAATTTTTTTTTTATCACAGATGTTAGTGATTTGAGTTTTCTCTCTCCTTCTCTTTGTTAGCATGTCTAAGGGTTTATTAATTTTATTTATTTTTTCAAAGAACCAACTTTTTGTTCTGTCAATTTTTAAAATTATTTCTTTTGTTTAAATTTCATTGATTTCAGCTCTAATTTTAATTATTTCCTGTCTTCTACTGCTTTTGGTGTTGATTTGTTCTTCTTTTTTGTAGGCTTTGAGATGCAATGTTAAGTCATTTATTTGTTGACTTTTTCTTCTTTTAAGAAATGAACTCTATGCAATGAACTTTCCTTTTAGTACTGCCTTCATAGTGTCCCAGAGATTTTGATATATTGCATAGTGTTCTCATTTACCTCTAAGAATTTTTTAATCTCTTCTTTTATGTCTTTTGCAATCTATTGTTCATTCAATCACATATTATTTAATCTCCAGGTGTTGGAGTAGTTTTTATTTTTTATTTTATCATTGATTTCTAATTTCATTCCATTATGATTTGATAGAATGCAGGGTGGCATCTCTACTTTTTTGTATTTGCTAAGAGTTGCCTTGTGGCATAGTATATGGTCTATTTTAGAGAAGGACCCATGTGTTGCTGAGAAGAAAGTATATTTGCTTGTTGAAGGATGAAATATTCTATATATGTCAGTTAAGCCTGTTATTGATTATATTATTGAGTTCTATAGTTTTCTTTGTTCAACTTTTATTTGGAAGATCTCTCCAGTGCTGAAAGAGGTGTGGTAAAGTCACCCAGAATTATTGTGCTGTGGTCTGTCTATTTGACTCTTGAACTTGAGTTTGATGAATTTAGATGCTCCATTGTTTGGGACATATATATTTATAATTGTTATGCCTTTTTGATGTATGGTTTTCTTGAGCAGTATGAAATGTCCTTAATCTCTTTTGATTAACTTTAGTTTGAAGTCTACTTTATTTGATGTGAGAATGGAGATCCCTGCTTGTTTCTGCAGTCCATGTGAGTGGTATGTGTTTTTTTCCCAACCTTTCACCTTCAGTCTGAGGATGTCTTTTCCTCTGAGATAAACCTCTTGGAGGCAGCATATTGACTGATTTTTTTTCAATCCAATCTGCAAGTCTATGTCTTTTGATTGGTGAGTTTAGGCTATTAACATTCAGGGTTATTAGTGAGGCATGATTTGTATTCCCAGACATTTTTGGTATTTAACTTGACTTGGTTTCTCCTTTGATTAGTTTTTCCTTTAGTGTAATACCTCCCTCTGCTGATTTTTATTGTTGTTTTTCATTTCCTCCTCATGGAATATTTTGCTGAGGATGTTCTGTAGTGCAGGCTTTCTAGCTGTAAATTCTTTTAACTTTTGTTTATCATGGAAGGTTTTTATTTCATCATCAAATGTAAAGCTTAATTATGCTGGATATAAGATTATTGGTTGACATCCATTTTCTTTCAGAGTTTAGTATATATTGTTCCAGGATCTTCTCTTTCAGGGTCTGGGTTGAAAAATCTGCAGATATCCCAATTGGTTTCCCCCTATATGTAATCTGATTCCTTTCTCTCATGACTTTTAAGATTCTCTCCTTATTCTGTGTGTTAGGCATTTTCATTATAACGTGCCTTGGTGTGGGTCTGTTGTGATTTTGTACATTTGGTATCCTGTAAGCCTCTTATATTTGGTTTCCAATTCATTCTTTGTGTTTGGACAATTTTCTTATAGTATTTCATTGAGTAAATTGTTCATTCCTTTGGTTTGGAACTCTATGCCTTCCTCTATCCCAATAACTCTTAAATTTGGTCTTTTTATGTTATCCCATATTTCTTAAATGTTCTGCTCATGGATTCTTACCATCTTCACTGTGTGATCTACATACTTTTCAAGATTATATATTTTGTCTTCATTGTCTGTCTGAGGTCCTGTCTTCCAACTGGTCTAATCTGTTGGTGATGCTTTCTGTTGAGCTTTTAATTGGTTCATTGTTTCTTTCATTTCAAGGATTTCTGTTTTTTTTTTTTTCTGAACCTCTATCTCCCTATTGAAGTAATTTTTTGCTTCTTGTATTTGCTTATGTATCTGTTTATTGAAATTATCTTTTGCTGCCTATATTTGTTCTCTTATATCATCCTTTAATTCACAGAACATTTTAATTAAGTACATTGTGAACTCCTTCTCTGTCACTTCTTCTGTTGTGCTGGCTGTGGATTCTGATAATGTAGTATCTTGATTTGTTTTGGGCACTTTTTTTCCCTTTTTAAAAATGTTGCTTGTGTGTCTTCCCTTCTAGCTCTGCGGATCTGTGACATTGCTATTTTTACCCTATAGGTTTATAGTGCCCCTGCAGGGTTCCAATACTTCTCCTTAAGGGGAAGAACAATGTTAACAGATCCCAATATGAACAATATACAACCTTAAACCATAGAGTTGCTATTAAGCTGTTTACAGTTTTGTCACAATATATAGAAATGGTGAGTTCAATTATTATCTACAGTATAAACAATAGGTTTGCAAAAGGGTTTACAATTTCTGATGGTGGACAAAGAACAGGGGGTGAGGTGTAGGATAAGATGTTGAAGGGGTAGGAGGTGAGGATATAGTTATTAGTTCTTAGGAAGTGTGAAAGAGGAATCTAAACAAGATGGTTAGTAACAGGAGAAGAGAGAGAATGTGATTTTGGGGAGACAAGTAAGTGGGATGACAATAGAGTACATAAAACAAACATACATAAACATTAAGAAAAATATAAAAATAGAAGAATATTCAACACAACTGTAATATACTATGCAGACATCCCGTCCTCAGTATCCTAATTCGTGCAAAGTATTTGGTTTCACAAATGTTGGGAATGTGAGGGTGGGAGAATAGAGAGGGAGAAAAAAGAAAAAAAAATCTTGAAGAAACTGAAAGAAGCAAGGATTGTTTTGGTTGGAGATCAGTATCTTTCCTGCTTCCCTTCTCATCTAATAGGTGGGGTTGTCTGTTGTTTGCTGGTATCTCCACCCTCAGGATGGTGAAGGATACCAGGGAGGGAGGGTTGGTCTTGGGTGCAGGACACCTGGAAGTGGGGTATGGCATCAGCCAGTCCCCAATGGGAGACTGCACCCCAAGGATGTCCTCTGGGGCCCCCTTGTGTGATGTGGGTGCCTGCTCTTATCTCCTTAGATTGCCTGTAGCCCTCACAGTTCTTGGTTTCTAATTTATTCTCTAAACTGTATCTCACTCACCCTCTCCCTCTTTACTTCCTAACTGGGGACCTTTCTCTCTAGAGGTCTTGTGGGTTGCACTCTGGGGGCTGCACATCTCTCTTGGAAAGCTATTTTGTATTGGGCAGTCACTGTGCTGGTTTAGCAGCTGCCAGGGGGAGGGGGGAATCGAGGACTATTGGTATCTGCCCAGCTGGTGTTCCAAGCTGGAGTTGCCCCAACTAAAGGTGGCAATGAAGTGTCCCAAGATGGAGGCAGCTGCTTTCTGCGATGGAGTGTCTGGTCAGGTGAGGGAGGCTGGCCGGTGGCTTTGGGTGATATGTTCAGAGATGCAGCTTGTGGCATGTAGCACTGTGGCTGTTGGTTGTCTCCAGACCAAGTGCAAGGCTCTGCGGGTGTCAGCGGGACTGTCCTGGGCCTGCCTGGGTTCTGTGGGTGTCCTTGGTATCTTTTTATTACGAAAGACACATTAAAAAACAAACAAACAAACAAACAAAAAACTATTGCCAGTCCGTCTACCATACAGTAACCAATCCAGACATGGTCCTGTCAGCCCAAGGGTTCCAGGTTCCAGAGTGGCCCCTTGAAAAGCCCAACCACTGGACCCCCCCCCCCCCAAGTCTCAGAGGTGACGTTTCTGCCTGTACTTTGTCATTGCATTGACACGCAGTGTTTTCTGCAAATCAAGAACCTCTGCAGGGTAATCCCGTTTCCTAAGAATGAAATGTGCAACAAAGTCTGTTCTTTACTATTTGACAACAGTCCAGGAGATGTAGCTCTGTTAGTGTCCTCCTCAGAGCCCTAATGTCACCTGAGAAGCAATGCCCATCCCATCCTGTCTCTGCTCACCAACTGTTCTCAGGAACCTCACCCGTGCTCCGGCACAGGATATTCCAGGTCAACAGGGCAGGCACATATTTGGGTGTTTTCTTTTTTTCTAATAAAATCCATCCTGTGTTGGCCACCTGCCCCCCAATCCTCACTTTCTCAGTTTCTACTGCCTATGTCTGCCTGAGGATAGATACCAGGAGGTGGTGGCAGTAACTGTGGCCTTATCAGCTGCTCACTTCCATACTTTTGCCCAAGTTTCTGGTGCCCCTGTTTCAAAGATGTTGGCCCACTGGCCCCGGCCCTGACTTGGCTTGTCACCCTCCCCCACAAGTTGACACATATTTCAGAAGCTGCTCTTTTGGCCAGCTGGGTTGTGATCTTTTGTGCTATGCCTGCTCTTGGCAGAGCATGGTGGTGGCTCTTTCTCTGCAAGGGCTTGATGACAACCTCTACTCTATAGGTATGTGGGAGTCTCGGGTTCTCTTGGAGGCAACAAGGTCTTCAATTGCCAGATACAAATATATACCCTAAAGCCATTCCCCCAGAGCCCTATCTCCTCTAGCCACACCCCACCTGCCTTCAGTTACCACTCAATTAATCCCTATAAGGGGATTAATTCACTGATTGGGTTAAGGCTCTCGTAACCCAATTATTTCTTTTCTAAACCTTCTTGCATTGTCTCACATGTGAACTTTTTGGGGGCACCTCACATCTAAACCATGACATTCTGCCCCTGGCCCCCAAAAGCTCACACTCATCTGACAATGCAAAATACATTTAATCCATTCCCAAGAGTCTCCAAAGTCTTTTAATAGTTCTGAGATTGCTCAAAGTTCAAGTCCAAAGTCTTCTCT